AGAGAGAGAGAGAGAGAGAGAGAGAGAGAGAGAGAGAGAGAGAGAGAGAGAGAGAGACAAACAGAGAGAGAGAGAGAGAGAGAGAGAGAGAGAGAGAGAGAGAGAAAGAGATCGAGAGAGAGTGAGAAAGAGAGTGAGAGTGAGAAAGAGAGTGAGAGTGAGAGAGAGAGAGAGTGAGAGGGTATGTGTTGTGTGTAACGTTTATTTGCTCTACTAATTAACTTTAGATTTATGCTATATTTAAAAATGCCCTAACACATTTTTTCTTGTAAAGAATATGTCGCTGCCCTATAATTAATAAGTTACTACTTTTCTTCTACGTTTAGTTGTTTATACACTTGGTATTGTAATTAAATAAATAACATATCTACGTACCATTGTTAATACGGTCTAATATTGACTCAACCGTAAAATAATTTACTATATTCTTATAGATTTGCAACTAAAGAAGTTAAAAAAAGTTTAGATAGTAATTTAGTTTAGTAAATTGTGTAGAATTGTTTAAAGAAACTATTTTTCACAATTTAAAACAAATCTGGTATGTTGTAAAGAGAGGTTACTGGTGTTTTGGCAAGCCTGCTTTTTTTCTAAATATTTTATTTGATTTTTATGCAATAATAAAACAGAAAATGGATTGATTCTGGTATTTGCAAATGCCTTAAATCACAGGGGGGAAAAATAGAAATTCTTTTTGAATGGTGTAACAAAATAATAATTTCTGCTAGAAAAATTTAATTTAAAACTAGTTCATAGATTACAATCAGGCAAAACAGTGTTGGCATGCCTGATTTTGAATGACAAGAAAATCGATGAAATTTAATTTTTGATTATCTATGAAATGGTTTATACATGAAGATAGATTATGAAACATAGTCGATAATACAGACCTGGGTCCCTTTGAAAAATACTACAGTCAAGGCCCCCGCTGCAGTGACAGCCCATGTGAAAAGAGTTCCAAAAAGAGCCTGGACGAGTGGAGTGTAGCCTTCCAACATAGCGAATTATTGTACAGGAGCTACTTTCAGAAAACCATATCTGAACGGAATATCAGTCCTTCTTCGATTTTTTCGGCGTTTTTCAATAACTGTACACACGGCCAGATGTTTACACTCGTCCGGCTTCGATGTATTCGCACTTCACATGGCCGCTGTTGACATTTAACTGGGGGGGGCTGGCCTCTCCGTTTGACAACAGTCTCGACTCCGACGTCAAGCACAGTGTTGTCCTATCAAGTGAGATTCGCAAAAACTACTAAACGTAACAGCAAAGAAGAAAAAAACTCTAAATTACACAATAAATGGTGTCTGTAATATACACTAACTGGAACAGTCTGTAAAGCAAAGACAAACGTTTGCTCTGTAAAGCTATATCCGCAAAGGACAAATCACGGAGGGGGCGAAATCAACTGCCGATTCCATCGTAATTAATGATTCATTCATGTACTATCTACTTATACTACCTACAAGTCATATAAAACTTTTAAAATAGACCAAAGGATGCCGATTTTTATATTTAATTGTATTACAAAACTGAATTTTGAACATTGTACAAACATTTATGTCTAATGGCTAATTGACCAAATTACTTATTTCAATTAATTATTCTTTCTACGTGAGGTCTGTGTGAGCAAGATCCCGCCCGTGACACTAACCTTTTTATCTCTACCAAAAACTAATATAAAAAGCATAATTAATTGTACAAATAGTTTCTGCACATGTTAACAAAACTTAGGCATCTAAAAAATTATTCATTAAAATAAAGTTTGCTGATCCTTTTATTACTGGTTTCCGACGATCTATTTCTAAGTTCGTGGTAACAAGAAGGAATCGTAAAAGATCAACTTTAAAATCATTGTGTCTGTATCTGTTTTAAAAACTTTAAGTTAATATTACTAAAATATTTTATAATGAATATGTGATGTTTTGGTCCAGTAATTTGGACGTTACCGTCCATTTCTGACTATCATCGCTGTATTGGTCTGCCATATGCGTTTCGGCACTTAGCCATCTTCAGTGTAGTGTCTGTGATGACTAAAATCATAGTGGTGCAAAAGTATCCTAAGTGAAATAATTGAAAAGTGACAAAATAAAAACCCACTAGTCTGACAGACAGCAGAGCGAGTACGTGCAGACCAGGATGATGAGTAACGACCAAATTACAAATATACTATTGTAAAATATTGAATAATGTACTAATTGCCTTGGCTCCGTACCGAGAGCGAGTAGGCATAGAATTTAAGAATGGTTCTCGGACACGTAACCGAGTTTAAAGGGAATTTTTTATTGTATATAGACGTCAAAATATGTGTATTTATTACAGAGAATGGGGAGAGGCTGATGGTGGAATATTTATAAAAGTACCCCATCGACCTCAGTTAGATTAGTTCGTTATTGTATGTAGGTCGATGAAAGAAATATTTATTACTCCATCTAACAAATACATTAATGCAATGCATATGTGGGAATGTATTTATTTGCGTGAATGCGCGTTGTAATATTTTGCATGCGCTTGGGGCTGAAATTACCAAGTTGTCGGATGCCCCATTTAAAAAAAAGCAATGTACTAATATGTAACATATTATTATTATTGTAGTGGTTAATGGGGTGGTTTTCATTTGTTTTATTTTGAAAAATTTAGATATTTTTTATAGGATTTATTGATTTTTTAATAAGCAAATTAATTTTATTGATTAAAAAAATGTAATTGATCGAATGAAATTACATAAAAGAACACTAATTAATTAATATGGAATGATTAAATTTTTTGTACGAACTAGGTTGGCTGCACTGCTGTCAATATAACACTTCCGAGTACTGTAACCTCTCTCGAAGGTTCTATTGAAATGACAACCAGTCCAAAGTTGGCTAGTAGGTCTCCTCTGTTGAAAAACAAATAAAACGTTAATAATTATGATGGACGGATATAACGTTAGTAATTTTTAAATTTAACACTTACAAAGGATCTTTCTGAATATACAAAAAAATCAACTTATACGCCCATAAAATGGTTTGTATTCGTGTCTATAAGAATCCAAATCTAACTGGTGCTGGGGTCTAACATAAATAAATTTTGTAAATTATTCTTTTCAGCTTTAAAATACAAATTGAAACTGGTTGGATAACTATGAAATTAAGTTTTTATGTGTTTTTTACGTAGTTTTTTTATGTTCTTCGATCTGTGTTTCTTCTTTATATAATTAGTCAACAAGTATTAAAGCACATATAGAACCTGTAATATTTATTGTTTGTATTAGCAAATTTTTATGTTTGCAGGCACCGTTATTAGGTGATGACACTATTCCATTTGGCCAGGAGCAACAAGACCCCAATAAATTGCCGTATGTGTTTTTAATATTTTTATATTTGCATGGAGATTTTAAGAGGGAAAGAATTGTTTCAGTCATCCTTATGTTACAATGTGCCATGTTGGATTCAGAGCGACGGCTCTCGTCGCGTATATGTTCTGCGGCTTGTTCAGCACAAGTTTCATAACTAGTTTCGTAGTTATAGTCCTGCTTCTCTGTGCCGATTTTTGGACAGTGAAGAACATCACAGGCCGGCTCATGGTGGGTCTGCGATGGTGGAATTACGTCGACGATGAAGGCAAGTCTCATTGGGTCTACGAGACGAAAAAGGTGGGTTGTGGAAAATATACACTCTAACGTGATTTAACAAATTTTAATTATCTCTCCCTGCCCAGGGGGACTTGCAGAATATGGTGAACAAAACAGAATCGAGGATATTTTGGACGGCGCTTTTTGCATTCCCGGTCATATGGGCATTGCTTTTTCTCATTGCAATTTTCAGCTTTAGCCCCAAATGGCTTGTACGTATTTTCAATTTTACTCGATCCCATGTGCAGATTACTGTTTTTTTAATAAGTTTATTTTTTGAAGATTGTTGTTTGGATTGCTCTTACATTAACATCGGCGAATCTTCACGGTTACATCAGGTGCCGGTTTGGGTCGAACAATGAAGACATTAAAACGACCCTGTCATCTGCAACATCTACATTTTTCAGGCAACAAATCCTGCAAAATGTACCTCTATCCAAAATTTAGCCAAATAAATTAAATTTAAACATTTACATTTATTGTTTTTTCTTTTTATACAACTTTAATTTTTTATTTGTTAAAGGTAACATCAATGATGGATGCTTCGACTAAACAACAAACGCAGCCTGCCACAAACATCGTATGATCAATTTACATTCTTTCGCCATGCTTTTCAATTTGTATATAATTATTTTTATTCCATGTAAAAATATGATCCTTTGATAAATCTGATATCTGGTTATATAATGTAAGCTGTATGTATAATAAATAAGTAATATTGTTTGTCACAAATTACAATATTGATATGTATATTTGTATGTATGTTTAGAAAGAAAATTGAAATTTATTAAAAAGTTTTTTCATGCATTTCTTTCAGTATGATTAAAAACATTTGTTCCTTCAATAACTGTTATTAATTATTAGGTAAGTAATTTATTGACTTTTTTCATTCTCTGAGAAATAACATTAAAAATACTATCATTATTTAAATTTTTATTAGATTAACCTTATAAAAAGATATATCATGAACGATTTCATTAAAGTTTCTCACAAAATACATTATGATTAGTAATTTGTTGATAAAACTGTAATTTAGTTTAGTTCCATCGTATTAGATATTGACTAAAAAATAAGATTTGATTAATATCAGAAATTTTTGAGATCGATCATGTGAAATACTGTGACTAGAGAAAATATAATAAATAATTTTAAGTTTTGTTGGTTTTAAATTGTAACTACATTTTTCTAAATGAAAAATTTTGGAGATTTTTTTTTAATTTAACCCAAGAAAGTCAGTGTTTTGTTTGCCACTTTCTAAAAATTTTTAAATATTTAACCAAATAGAATTAATTAATAGAATAGATTAAGAAAAAACTTTTATTATGTAATAAGTTTACAGTAAGAATATTATTTATTGATTTTTTTCCAAAGGTGTTTAACATGTCCTATCTCAATTACAATAATCATTCATGGTATTAAAAGATTGTCTAACCTAAATTTGGCCGGTCTCAAGAGTTTTCAAAATACTACTGGGACCCCCCTACAACTACTCTAAAATAGTAATAATAATGTTTTAATTAATTATAAAGAAAAACAATACAAAAACGAGATAAACAATAATCTGTTAAGTTTACATACACAAATAAATACCAAATACAGAAGTAATATATAAATTGTAATAAATAAAGTAATATAATATATAAACCTTGATTAAAGTTAAATTCAAACACCAAAAACTTACTATATTTTAAAGCAGTACTTGTATATGAATAAAACACCAATTGTCTCTATTTAACTGATCAAGATAAAAATCTCTGGTCGTAATAAATTAAATTAAATTCTGCCAGGATGGTACATTCACCTAGAAAATACATTACAGTTTCATTGACATTGTAGTTGGATAGCGAACGAGCTAATTATAATTTTCTTCTTATAATGTTGTTAATTTGTAGGTAGCCTGGCAAGGTGATCCCTCTCCCTTCATTCACGCCAATAAATACATTCATACTTAGTAAAAATCACACATTCGCTATCCTAAGTTAACCTAATTGGATTCTAGTCAATTCTTGAGATTCTACACAGACCGTGTTCAGATACGCTTAGCCATTCATGCAAATAAATACATTCACACAATTGGTTTTTAAAAACTAATCTATAACGATCTAATTACAGCTTAATTTAAAAACAATCCACAGTAGTAAGAAACTGTTGAACTATTTTTCAAATATTTAATGTTTTGAAGAATAGTAGCAAACAAAACAATTCCTAGTGGTAATTTTCGGTTTTAAGTTAAAGAGCTTTTTATCCATTTGTACATTATTTATCTTGCACCTAACATAATAAAAAAAAGTTTTATGCTGTTAAAAAATATTTTTCACGCAAGTAACTATTGTTTTAATAGTTTTATATAAATAATTATTAAAATTAATATGTAGGGTAAATTTTTTAATATATTTACCATATCTTGGGAGAAATCATTGGAATATTTTGAGGATAAATTAATATTTGGAATATTCATTTTCGTTAGTTTGTCAATTTACACGACACATTTTGTTTTATTATTTTAAGTTAGTGTTTTTTGTCCATTTGAAAATTCTGCTGATAGAATAAAAAAATACTGTTTTATGGTGTTAACAAATATTTTTCATGCAAGTAACTATTGTTTTAACGATTTTACGTAAATAATTATTAATATTTTGAGGATAAATTAATATTTGGAACATTTATTTTCGTTAGTTTGACAATTTACACGGTACATTTCATTTAGTTTGTTATTTGAAGACAGTGACTGATTTTTCTGGGAAAAAAAATAAATGCCCCAGGTGAGGCTCGAACTCACAACCCCGGCATAGCTCACATAACACTGTCTTATAAGTACCGTGCGCTAACCAATTGCGCCACTGGGGCAGGCGTTCGTTTTCGCTCAGTTTGCACAGATAGGCCGGCGCGAGGCCTTCGCCCAGTCAACGAGGAAAACATAAAGAAAAATCTCGGAGTTTTTGTTTCAAAAATTGAAAAATGATTTTTCTACGATCCGAACTACTCTCACGTTCGGAAGGAAAGCTTTTTCCCCCCCGTTTTATCCTCATTATCATGTTGGCTCGGTCGGTACAGACTTCTCCAAGGCATTTGACACTCGATCATTCTGGTTTGATTGCTAAATCAAAATGTTATGTTGTAAATTTCTTGAATTGGCTACATTTTTGTATAACCGGTAGAAGACAAGGTGTAAAAGAGAAATCATTTAAATCAATTCCAATTTCAGTTACATCTGGAGTTCCACGGGGATCACATTTAAGCCCTTTATTATTTTTAAACTTTACAAATGACTTATACATATATATACAGAGAGAGAGTGAGAGGGACAGAGAGAGAGAGAGGGAGAGAGATAATAAATAGAGAGAGAGAAAGAGAGTGAGAGAGAGAGATAATAAATAGAGAGAGAGAGGGAGAGTGTGAGTGGGAGAGAGAGAGAAAAAAAAGAGAGAGAGGGGGTGGGAGAGACAGACAGACGTATTGATTGATTGATTGATTGATGATTTTATTTAATCCCGCAAAGTTATGTCTTTTGGACCTTTCTTACACTTAATGTGAGTTATACAGCTTACATTATACATTTATTTTGATTTAGACTCTTTTGGTCTTTTACAATCTATTTTACAATTATACTTTATANAGAGAGAGAGAGAGAGAGAGAGAATAAATAGAGAGAGAGAGAGAGAGAGAGAGAGAGTAAATAGAGAGAGACAGAGAGAGAGAGAGAGAGAGAGAGAGGGGAAAAAGAGAGAGAGAGAAAGAGAGAGAGAATAAATAGAGAGAGAGAGAAAAAAAAGAGAGAGAGTGAGAGAGAGAGAGAAACAGAAAGAGAGAATAAATAGAGAGAGATAATAAATAGAGAGAGAGAGAGAGAAAAAAAGAGAGAGAGAGAGAGAGAGAGAGAGAGAGAGAGAGAGAGAGAGAGAGAGAGAGAGAGAGAGAGAGAGAGAGAGAGAGAGATAGAGTTCAAAGACCTTATGTTTTGAAAAAAAGATCTACAAATACAAAAATAACCAAAATATATTTTAAGGGTGAAAACTTATGGGCGTCGGTGGCCACAACGTTTTAGGAGTTGACACAGCGCTCATCACTGTAAGGTAAAGGTCCAGGGTTCGAATCCAGCGGTCCTGCGGTACTTACACATGGCCTTTAAAAAAAAAACCTCACAGAAAAGATCGTGCTTAGAGTATGGTGTACGCTTAAAATTAGTACAAATGTCTAATGATTTGTAAAAGTATTTTAAAAAAAAGAGAGAATTGACGATGACCCGTGGTGTGTCGTCGTAAGTGGACGGCATCGAAAGAAACGATAATCGAATGAGAATGATCATCATTGATCACAGCCACTTAATCGATAGTCCACGTGTGGCACCCCTCGAGGCTGGACATTGCCGTATAGGTTGTATTTTTGTTTAATAATTTTTTTATTAATTTTCTCCGAACGGAAACTGGGTGAAAATGGCGAAATTCGACTTGACGTACGTCCTGGCTCCTTATTTGGACAAGCATCTCGTTTTCCCTTTGCTGGAGTTCCTGTCGGCGAAAGGGGTATGGCCAAGAGGCAGCATAGCGTTGTCTAACTTTTTCTGTTATTTTAACTTTATCTTTATACAAAATCATACAATAGAAAAGTTCGAGCTGACAATGTCAGTTTAAGTCCTTTTCCAAAGGTGGAACATGATAAAAATCCTTCTGGGATATACAATCGATTTTTGAAGATACTATTCACTTGTATACATATGCTTCAAAGAATGACATTTTAACTTGCATAGAATAAAAATAGAAATATATTTATCAAAAAACATTTTCACAATAGGGCTTAACCCCTTCACAATGAGTACACAAATATAAAATAATTAAATAACAAAAATGCAAAACAATAGTTAATAAACAAATGATTATTTGGAGATCGTGAGATGCTGTGTGTTCATCTCACGATCTCCAAATATACATTGACTACTAAACACCATACGTTAATAAATGATATGATACATATTATAGTACATTAACTGCACAAAAATGAATAGGGACACTTGTAATTTATTCTTATTATATTAATTTTAATTAATTTAACCGATATATTCTTGTTAGTTGGATAAGACAAAATAGAAAATACAAACCAAAAACAAACAACAGGCTTAAGAACAGTAAACACGAAGATTCCTCGTATTTTAAACATACACCTTTTCTCCTTTTCTTTCTCAATTTTAATTCAGTTGTATTCTCGTTAACCTCGGAAAGACATCATGAACCAGAAGTCCTCAATATTATTATGACAGTGAGTCATCGATTTCACCGCCAAGTGGATATCGCAGAGGCAGTTGGCATTTCTCAGAGGTGGTCTCCCGGCAGCCTGATTCCGAGAGACTGGAAGTGCCAATTTGAGGTGTGGTAGTGGATCTCAGCATATTACGACTCTAAGGGAGGACAGAAATACCATTGCTGCAAGACGGAACCCTTTCCATGGTGCCCGCCAGGTCCTAAAAGCAGTACAAGATGCTTTGACAAGGTCTTTATTGACACAAACATTTCGTGATTAATTTGTAAAGCCCTCACATTGTACGCCCTGTTGAGATGACCTGCAGCAACAGCCCACCGCCAGGAAATCAGGAGAATATGGTTCAGCGAACGCCTAGAAGAGAACACCAATTGGAATGCTGTTATGTTCTCTGATGAGTCGCATTCCTGTCTGTATAGTGATTGCAGAAGAAACTGTAAACCATTGGCTCTTTCACAATACACATTCTCGCTAATAAATACATTCACTCTCAACTCAAGCTAGGGACAAAAAATTATCAGTACTACATACAATAAATGTGTAATGTGTTCATATCTGACGTGTGGATTTTAAAAGTATATAGCACCTTAAGCCTGTATTCTCTTATACAATGCATGAAGTACGAGATGTTTTGGCAAGGCTTTTAACACAATTACGAATCGTTTGTGGGAAGTTGGTCTCACATCGTATGCCCCTTTGATACGGCCTGCAGCAACAGCACGCCACCTGCAGCTCAGGGGAATGTGCATCAAGCGCCAGTTGGAATGCTGTTATCTTTACTGATGACTCACGTTTCTGTCTGTACAGTGAAAGCAGGCGCCGAAGAGCCTACCGAGAACAGAGTTCCCAGTTCGTGCTCCCTTAATGCAGTTTGGAAGAGGCGGAGTAATGGTCTGGGCTGGGAAATACACTGGGGGACGAACTGGACCCCATTTTGTTGAAGGCAACCTCATCACAGTCCGTTTTGTTGAAGAAATTATTGAGGAATACATCCCTCAAACCAGGGATCTCATTGTTGGATGACAATGTCAGACCTCATAGAGCCAGAGTTGTTCATAAATGTTTAGAAAACCTTTCCCATTGTCTCCAGACCGTTGCAGAGAACGTTTTTTGATCACCATTGACCTGCAACAACTGAGTGCAGTATTGCACTATGGAGTGAAATTCCTTATGAAATAAGTGACAACTTCATTAAAAGTATGCCTAACAAGTGCACAGAGGTTTGTTTAAAAAAAAAAAATTGTGTCCAATAAACAAAAATATGGAATTAAAACCTTTTATTTTGTTATTTTTCAAAATCCCTTAATTAAATATTACTTCAATAAAAAAAAATTAAAAAAAACAACAATAATTTCTAATAAATTTTAACGTAATTTATAATAAAATTCTAGGAAAAGTAATACTACAAAATTGGCAATATCCCTATTCATTTTTGAACAGTTTATATCACAACAATATACGTAGTCCAGAATGCTTTTATACTTGTCTAGATCTAATATTTGTAATTTACTGGTTGTGTTACATGTTTCATTATGTATATTTTATTTAAAAAATGTCTTTTATATTTAAATTTATTGCACTCCATTATATTATCTTTTAAATCTTCTGTTGCCTTACACACTGTCGCATATTACTTCCCCCCCCCATATATTGAAAAGAGCCACTTAACCATAGTTGCATCCCAATCTTGTTTTGTTCGAACAATCTCTCTAACCGAATTTTAAATTTAAAAACCACGGTGTATTATTAAGCTGAAAGTTAACGGAGTGGTAGAACAGACTTGTACCAGAGCATTGTTTTTGTCTTTTATTTTAAAATGTATGCCATTTTTTGCTTCCGAAGTTGGGATAAGAGCATCAATTATTTCTCCAGCTTGCCATAGCCTGTATTGCATAGATAATTAGAATCAGTTTTGTGATTGAAATTTTTCAAACTATGGCTCTTTTGAAATCTTAAAGGATAATTAACCTTCCCCCAGATATTACTTTCAGTTTGTCTTAGCTTAAGGCTCGCTCTTAAGGTACCAATTCACCGATTAATACATGCCGTTTTTGTTTGATTGCGGATCATACCAGGCGCATCCCATTGTCCATTTTTAACCAATCCGTAAAAATTAAGTTTGTGTTCGGACAAATTAAATTTTCCAAGAAGCTTGGACTGACTTCTTATAGATATAATCCCGAATAATCTCTAAGAACGCAGTTGTGGAATGTTTCATAATTCAAATGAAACTGGTTGAAGCTTGTCATTGAAAAATGTACCCAAAGATCTGACCAGGTTTGTCCATTGACTTTTTTATCTCAACTAAAAACCTTAATTAATTGTAAAAGTAAACGTTTACAATTACTGAATGAATATACTGGACCACAGTATGGTCTGGATGAAAAAGTCAAGCGGACCACGAAATTAGTGAATTTAACTTTTACTTTTATTTTATTTTACTAGTTTAAACTATAGGAAAAGTAATGAAGTTATTCCTATCTCTCAGATTTATTCTTAGATAGATCAGAGGAGATTCCTAAACTATCATTTTTCTTCGTAATACTATGAAAATTCTAAAAACCTTATTATGTATTGTTTCAAATTAGATTAATCTCTTGTAATAATTGCAGTTTATTTTACAAATTATTTAAAGTTTGAATTGTGTTACAGATTTATAATAAGCAAGATATTCTACACGCAAAGAAGGATATAATAAACAGTACATTTATGGTCGACTACTCGCTCGACATCCTCAAGGGCGATCCAAACCCCGACAAAGAACTTCTCGAAGTAAAAACAAAAAATTTCACCGAACATGTTATTAATTTTTAATTTTTTTTTTTTTTTTTTAAGCAATTGGGAAATAGGAGGAAGGAAGTTCTTGCTGAACTGGAGGCTGTCAGGGAGGCAGCAAAGCCCATTACTTCTGTAATCGAAGATGACAATTTAATAATATACATCACGGGGCATAGAGACTCTAAAAAGTTGCTTACCTATCTAACTGAGATGAATAACGTAAAAACAAAACATTTATGCCGAAAATAATTCCCATTATAAAATAATTTTGAATTTTAGTTTCAATTTGATAAAATGGACACATTAATAAGGCTTAGCAAATGCTTATACGAATGCGGAAGTTATTCAAAAGCAGGGATTTATCTTTACTTCTACCTTCTCGTTATGCCCTCGACGGATAAGGTAAAATCAAAATAGAAATTAAAACTTCGTAGATAATAATTTTTTTTCCCACCCCCGACAGAATTACCTCACAGTGCTCTGGGGGAAGTTGGCTTCTGAGATATTGACCCAGTGCTGGGAGGCAGCTTTGGAAGATTTAAACAAACTCAAAGAGTTTATCGATAGTAATTCTTTCTCGACATCGCTCCAGAGCCTTCAGCAAAGAACGTGGCTCATACACTGGAGCCTTTTCATTTACTTCAATCACGACCAAGGACGTGATCTTATTATTGACATGTTTCTCTATAGGCCTAAGTATGTAATTTGTGTTTGTCATAATTTTGATTATTTCGTTCAAAGAATTTTTGTTAATTCGATTAATATTTTTTAGTTATTTAAATGCTATACAGACGATGTGTCCGCACATTCTGCGCTATCTATCTGCTGCCATTATTGTCAACAGGGCAAGAAGAAATTGCTTGAGAGATTTAGTTAAAGTTATTCAACAGGTGAAAATTTTGTTAATAGTATTATCTTAATTGCGTAAGCATTATTACATTAAACTTTGTATATGTAAACAAAAGCCAAAAGTTTAAATCAATAAATTACTGTGTATTTGATGTAATTTTGTTAAGATTTGCTGGAAAAAAGTATTGTAAATTTGGTAATTTTATTAGTAAGAAAACGATCTTAATTTTAGGAATCATACACGTATCGAGATCCAATCACCGAATTTCTCGAACACCTGTATGTCAATTTCGATTTTGAATCTGCCAGACAGAAGCTGCACGAGTGCCAGGAGGTTGTGTACAACGATTTCTTTCTGGTCGGAATTTTTGAAGACTTTGTCGAAAACGCACGTCTCATGATATTTGAAACTTTCTGCCGTATACACCAGTGCATTAGCATTTCGTAAGACTAATTGTACAAGTTTTTTCTTTTTTATTCATCATTCTAACAGATATTAATATTATAGCATGCTCGCCGAAAAGTTGAACATGATTCCGGAGGACGCCGAGTGCTGGATAGTCAATTTAATCAGATCCGCGAGGCTCGACGCAAAAATTGATTCAAAGCTCGGCCATGTCATCATGGGAACTCAACCGTTATCGCCTTACCAACAACTTTTGGAAAAAGTCGATACCCTTTGTGTCAAAACTGAAGCTATATTGTCTCTAATAGATAAAAAAGTGAAAGGAAAAGTTTTAGATGTAGGTTCTGAACATACATGTTGATGCGAAGTATATATTCAATGAATTTATTTTCTGTTTCAGACACGTTGGGGTGGACAAGATTTTAATTAAAGAAAAAATTCTTACATTCTTTAACATTGTACATTCTTCTCATATATTTTTCGTACAATTATTAAAAAAACAAAAACAAAATAGTTGAGTTTTTTTGCCATTTTCACTTCTGTATAATTGTTGAAATGCTGTGCGTTAATTTTGTAACATTCTTCCTTTGTATATTGAAGTATTTAAAAATATACAAAATATGTATATTCAAAAATTGAGAGAAAAACCTGTGTTTGATGTGATAGTATGTAAAATTCAATGTTCCTTCATATTCCTTTCACATTTTTAACCCTCATACTGCTCTGTAGTAAGAAAAGAAAAAAAAAGGACTGCGGTGGCGTTTATTTATTTATTATATACACGGGTGACTTAAATAAAAAATTTCATGTGTATGGTAAAATTTTATTTACATTTTATAACAATTTTGACATTATCACTTAACTATTATGAATACATGATGAATCACCTACACAACTTATACATTCTCGTTTTTTATTTGCTATTAAAAGTTTACAACATAAGAATTGCTTGCATTTATCACATCTGGTGAAATATTTATTGTCGTCAGAACAAAGATGTCATCATCAACTGTCAAAAAAACTGTTTTGTTGTTCTTCCTGCCTTTGAAACTTTTAAAATATTCATCTAAAAGAAAGAAAAAAAAAGAATACAAATTGAAAAGTAAGACCTTTAGGTCAAATAGAAAAACCAGGACAATAAATGAAATTAGGTTGCGATCAGTAGGGCTAATCCTTTTTCTTACCTATTCTCAAAGGAACAAGATTCAAAATCCAAGATTACCAAAAAATGAGGATTGCAGTAGCTGAGGGGTCAGCGTGATACACTCTCGGCTTTAGACCCTATGGTCATGGGTTCAATTCCCACCATCGTCCCTCACCGTTTTTTTCAAGCAATCCCCCCCTCCTAAAAAAATAAATAAAACAATTACCAAAATTGACTTGAAATAAATTTATCAAAGCTTAATAGAAGTGTTTGGTCTCCATTTTTTATTGTATAAGACTAAATAAGCTCACCTTATTTTAACACTGGATTCCTGAAACATTTTCTTATTTATCCTGCTTTGTAACATAAGTGGAAGTTCTGCCACATTCTTTTTACTGAAATGAAAGTTTCATAATTCCATAAGTTGAAAGTGGGTAAAGATAAATTTAAAGCTGTCTGGGCTGTTTCTTTAATTTCTTTGTTCTTTAGAATGGTTCTTTTTAATTATTATTTTAATCATAGGAATACATTTCAATTAAAAATAATATGTAATAAAATTTTATTTCAAAGGCATAATAATTTAATATTTATTTTTGGTCATGTAAGTATAAAAAATATACATAGACATACAATACAAAAAATAAAACTAATTTATTTTTATAAGTATTACAACAATATAATTTTGGGATATGAATTATAAAATTTAAATAACAATTATAGTTTCACAAGTAACAACTAATAATTTTAAATAGATTTGAAGTTTTTCTTATAGGTAGCCGCATCCTACATAAATAGGAAATTGTTGGCTATTTTAAGCTTGCGCAAAATTACAGAATTTAAACAAAAAAATATACAATCATTTTGTACATATCAGTGGTAATGTCAATCACTGTCTAATTCCGGCAGACACTCATAGCAATCCCTCCCGTTGTATTCGAAATCGATGTCGCCTTCAATATAATGGCCCAAACTATCACGAAAACTATAATCTTCATCGTTGTCGGAAACTTCGTAGTCGTCACTATTTTCTATTTCTTCATTGATGTAATTATCGAATGTATAATTATAATCCTCGATGCGCGGCTCAACTGGTCGTGCTCCCAAGTTGGTTCCCTGAAATTTAACAAATTTCAAACAAATCTGATTGTTTTTAGATTTATTACAATAACTGTATAAACATTAAGATGATTTCAACAGAATCACTTGAATCTAATTTGATTTCTCAAAAGCTGAATCTCAAGGAATACCCTAAAAACTAATACATTTTATAGCACATATAAAACCACCCACACTTTCACACTACCACATAGGTAAAATAATACAAATAAAAAAAATTAAGACTAAAAAAATTCAATCTAAAAAATTAAAAAATTAAGGTTTTTTTTAAGTACTCAGCTTTTTGCAGAAAAAGCTTTTGAATTTAGGTTTGTTCATTCTTAACTAGTTTATTGGTAGGGCTAGGCATTTTTCAATATGTAAAACAATTATCTGTTAGTTGGAGAATGGAGGGACATAATATTATATAAGTATAAATAAATATAGACATAAATTAGAATCTTACAGATTGTACAGGTATAGAGGGTAGCTGCCGGTGCCTCCTCAACCCGGCGACGCCTTTGCTCGGCAGACCGGCTTTGTCACGTTTCAGCCTCCTCATCCTGCCGTATCCGACCTTCCTCAATTGAACCATATTGCGGAAATCTATTATGAACACGCTGCCGGCAAGGAGAACTTCTATCGTGTCCTCGTTAGCCTGATATGCCTGTTCGAGGTCTACAGTCGTCCTTGCATCGTATTCCCACCAACCTGAAAATAAATTTTAAATGATTGTACGCTATGGAATCTTATTAAATGGGTTGATTAGTATTAGAGATACCATGAATTCGCAATTTTTACTCATTTTCCTCCCTAACACCACACCACTATGATGATGTTAGACACTGAATATCTGATTATAAGTCTCCATTTATATTTAGTGGTCTAATTAGCCGTATTAATTATTTCAATTAATGATTCTTTTTATGTAAGGTCTTGGTTGAGATGAAAAAGTTAGAGTCATGAGCGGGATTCGAACCAATGACCTTCAGCTCAATATGCCAATGCTCTAACCACTTGAGCTATTGTGACTTCAAGTGGTTAGAGCATCGGCAAATTGAGTCGAAGGTCATGGGTTAATCCCGCTCGTGACACTAACTTTTTCATCTCAACCAAGACCTTTCATAAAAAGAATAATTAATTGAACTAATTGACATGGTCCATTAGGCTACTAAACATAAATGGCTTAAAACAAATATTGAAAATTTATTTATTGCACTATTAAAAGATAAATGATACTGGGATTGTCGAGGACGGGTAAAGATCTGGACCTATTCTTTCTATGCTGGGCATAGAAAAGGGAACATTTGTGTGTCAACCACGCATGACATATTCTTAGATCGGTATGATCCCTATTCAACTATTGACTGAGTTTTTATAAACGAAAGCTTGGGTGCCAATCCAGCCAAACCACGCTTCAATTTCATTTTAATCATATCTTAAACACGATTTCAGGACTTAGGGGCAGATCGCAGAGGTTAGTTCTGAAAATTGGGATGTCTCGGCTGCAGCCTCATCTGCCTTTATGTTACAATATTTGCTATTTTATTTTATTATTATTTTTTTATTCTACATTTTACTCTTTAGTTTTATGTTTTATAGATTTTATTTCCACAGTTATTTTTCTTTATTCTTCTTGCAACTAGGTATTAACCCATATTAATGATATACATTTTCAGCAATTTAGGGCCGAATCGCAGAATTTAGTACTGAAAATTGAGTTGTCCCGACTGCAGCCTCTCTGTATTTATGCTACCATATTTGTTCTTTTATTAATTTTTTATCTTAATTTTACATTTTACTCTTTAGTCTATGTTATATAGATTTTATCTGCCCGCTTATTTTTCTTTACTCCTCTTGTAAGTAGGTATTAACACATATTAATAACATACATTTTCATCAACTTACAGCCAGATTGCAGAGTTAGTTCTGCAAATTGGGACATCCCAGCTGCAGTCTCATCCGTCATTATGTTACCGTATCTGTTATTTTATTATTTTTTTGTTTTAATTGTACATTTTACACTTTGGTCTTATGTTTTATAGATTTTATTTGCACTCTTATTTTTCTTTATTCTGCTTGTAAGTAGGTATTAACACATATTAATAAATCAATATTAAATTACAATGGCCAAAACTACAAATTTTATTATATATAATAACAATAAAAACTACCTTTTCCACTTGAAAAAATAGTTTATTTTTCGATAATCTAGAAGGAAATTTTTCCAAAATAAAAAGGCGATCAGACTCGTTGGACTGACTTGCTGTGTCATAAAAACTCATCCAATAAATCAATATTTAAAATTGGCAATTGATAAATGATTTATTTAACGATTTCTCTTTAATTTAACCGACAAAGCAGCTTTTATCAGTGTAAAATGATAATATATTAAAATTAAATATTACATGGTAAAAAAGCCGTCTTGCACCAGTTGCAACCAGAATCGGCCATGAAAAGGAAACCACAGGGCGGGAAACGGCCATGGGTTCAAAGGCACTTTCGTGAAAATAAAAAAATATTACATTCCTTAAAATCCTTTCTAAATATAATATCGCAAAAATATTAAAGAATATTTAAGAATTAACCATTTATTTTTAAAGTGAAATTAATTAAATTCTAAACAGGGAAATCGGCGACGAGTCGGGTCATTGCCAACTTGACCAAAGATCTCACGAAAGTACTACTTTATTCTTACATTTTTAAAACAATCGGACTTAATTTCTAAAAACTTACTTACAATATTCGGCTTATACTATTTTTAAACACGTTTTGTAAATTAAATTATGAGAGAATCGAAAAATTAATTATAAGTTGGTAGGAAGTAACGTTCGTCCCGCCATTCGTCCTCTTTCTCTCCTGTCGGCCATAGGTTCAACATCGAATTTTCTTCCTCGAAAAAGGTATTTTTAATTTTGGACATTTATTAGTTTAAAAAACTCTCGGTCTTTGTTTTTTCTAATGAATTACGTGGCAAATGTACAATTGATCAGTTTTCAATTATTATTTCATTCAAAAATGGATAAATTTTGGTCACGTATCAAACGCCCTTCGCTACTTGCTCTTCGAGCCCGCTCAAATAACAAAGAATGTTAAAATTTCATTTAAACCCTCAAGAAATGTATTTTTCCTTTATTAATAAAGAGAAATTTATTTAATTTATTGTTGTAAGGTTATTTGAGAAATAGACTGGCATTTCGTATCAACTGTGATCAATCTATGCGCACAGGGTACAAATTATGCACTGATTTAAAATGTTCAATGAATTCATGATGTTATTGATAAGTTATAGTTTCATATAATACAATTTATTTAAATCTGAAAAATACTTTTGCGTGTAAACTACAATTAATTTATGGTATGCTCTATACAGTTCTGGTTTCTTTTTCAGGGGGTTTTGAGCCGTTTTAACTCGTTTTTTTACATTTTTACAAAAAGACATTTAAACAGTGTGTTTAGTTGTTTCGCGAGTGTTGAACAGTGTGTAGGTAGCCGGTTCATCGAAGGTGTTCTAAGGCGAGGATTGTGGCCGTCAGAGGGTAAATGTCATTTATATAAAATCATTTTTTATAAGTTCCCTGTTGTCTATTTCCTGATTTTAACTATTTTTTTCTTTTTCCAGGAGTGATTTACAAATGGTAAACCAACTCTCTCTGCTGGCAGTCAGGTTAGTGAGCATGTTAGTACTAATTTTTATTATTGCCCCATCAGCTAATATAAACCTGTTGGTTTAATCCTATCTGCCTGTGTTAATGAAATACAACTTTTAATACAGGTAATATTTCAAAAATAAAACATCTACTTTACTTATCACAGATCGAACTGAGAATGTTAGAATGGTTAGAAGTTACAAAAATATGTCATTTCCCAACTAGATAAAGTTTTCATTTTCTGTTTAAAATCGAACTTTAATTGATGAAAACATCAATTGTTTTTCAGTCTTTTTTACCTCTTTTTTTTCATTTTTACAAAGTGTCATTTAAAAAGTGCGTTTACTTGTGTCACGAGTGTTGAACAGTGTGTAGGTAGCCGGTTCATCGAAGCTGTTTTAAGGCGAGGATTGTTGCCTTCAGAGGGTAAATGTCATTTATAAAAAATCTTTTTTTATAAGTTCCCTGTTATCTATTTTCTGACTTTAACTTATTTTTTCTTTTTCCAGGAGGGATTTACAAATGGTAAACCAACTCTCTCTGTTGGCAGTCAGGTTAGTGAGCATGTTAGTACTAATTTTTATTATTGCCCCATCAGCTAATATAATCCTGTTGGTTTAATACTATCTGCCTGTGTTAATGAAATACAACTTTTAATACAGGTAATATGCCAAAAATAAAACATCTACTTTACTTATCACAGATCGAACTGAGAATGTTAGATTGGTTAGAAGTTACAAAAATATGCGATATCCCAACTAGATAAAGTTTTCATTTTCTGTTTAAAATCGAACTTTAATTGATGAAAACAGCAATTGTTTTTCAGCCTTTTTTACCTCTTTTTTTTTTCATTTTTACAAAGTGTCATTTAAACAGTGCGTTTACTTGTGTCGCGAGTGTTGAACAGTGTGTAGGTAGCCGGTTCATCGAAGCTGTTTTAAGGCGAGGATTGTTGCGTTCAGAGGTAAATGTCATTTATATAAAATCTTTTTTTAAAAGTTCCCTGTTATCTATTTTCTGATTTTAACTTATTTTTTCTTTTTCCAGGAGGGATTTACAAATGGTAAACCAACCCTCTGTTGGCAGTCAGGTTAGTGAGCTTGTTAGTACTAATTTTTATTATTGACCCATCACCTAATATAATCCTGTTGGTTTAATTCTATCTGCATGTGTTAATCAAAAACAAATTTTAGTACAGGTAATGTTCATCTACCCCGCCTGGTAGAAGTACACTTAACCAAAACATTATAAGTTCCAAAATATATGGTTTTCCAACGAGATGAACTTTTTGTTTTAAAACTGAACTTTATTGATAAATCAAATTTAATTAAATGTTATACAAGTAAATATTGGTTTTATGCCAAAGAGTAGGAAAAAATCTGACTATGATGCCCACATCATCACTCTGAACATGGGCTCAATTCTAGTTGAAAATAATACAAAACCAATATATTTATGGTAAAAAGAGATATGTCCCTAAGCCTTTGTCAAAACTGCTACTTAGTACTATTACATTTTCACGTAAACTGAAGATATTGTGAACTTGATGTTAACATTCTACTCTCTTCTGTTTTAAATTTGTAGACTTAATAGAAGCAGGGCATTGTTTAATTATTGTTTTAAGTATCACTGTGACTGTCTTGTTGGTACGACAGGATTGTATTTTTTATGTATTTGTTAGAATTTTTCTTATTTGTTTAGTACATTTTTAAAATTCAATTTTTCCATCAATTCTCCAGGTTCGCCTTACTCATCTTCTTGCTTTTTATATGCCTTAGAATGTCACTTGTTTCTAGTCCATCGGTTCTAATAAGTAGGTCACTCATGAGTAGTCTCATTAATTTAGTTTATAATTTAATTATGATCTATCATCATCTAACATCATAGTTTTATTTCATCTAATTGTGTATTATTAATTATGAGCTACTTTGTTGTAGTATAATTACTATAGTTGCGTACTATATTGATACATTGTATTGTATTAGATTTTCTTCTCCTCTCCAGTCAAAATTAGTAGAAAAAGTGGGTGAATATGTAGATTCCCTTTTTGTAAATGTTGGTTCTACAGATTTGTTGTTTGCAACAACCAGAATTCAAGAATTAAAGTGTTAAATGTTCATCATTATGTCGAATGAGTTACAAATTTAGTTCCCTTCCTTTGTTGAAACTGTGTAACATTGTTGTATTTAAATTTAAATTGTGTTTTATTTCACTTAGGTGGTCATTAAATTGCAAAAATTTCTTCAATATAGGCACGTGTGATTTAACTTTCGTCTTATTTTCACTGCCACTTTGTCATATACATTCAATATCGCAATCACTACAATTAAGTTGGTGAACTTGCTTTTTGACAAATTGTCAACTTTGTTTTTAAGTTTTGACCCTTAAAACTACTCTAAAACCTCGTTTAAGATTTTACCTACTTTTTCTGATAGTTCATTGTATGGCAAGCAATGAAAATCTAATGATACATTTTTAGTAGGGTGGCTTAGTCCGATTGTTACTTTTTTTTAAGTTAATTTTAATTTTTTACTAGCAACCTGTAAATAAATATTTCTTATATCCATTGTTGAGGCTCTTCAGAGGACTCAATCTGAGACCCGTTGTCAACTGTCATCAAATTCAGATGACTCCAATTTGCTAAAATTTTTACCATTCTGTAATTTTTTCCAATTTCAATCTTATTTTCAACGAATAATTTATCACATTTCATCTATTTGTGCGTTCTTTTGTTTAGCCTTTTTCTCAAATTGTCTAATTTTAGCTTGACAATTTTCTGACATTGGGAAGCCAGTTGGCTATTTCCTGCTGTTCTTATAAGAACGGGATTATTTCTTCTTTACATTTAGGCCAGTCTTTTCTTAAGTCCTTTTCTATGATATTTAGCTTTTCTTCCATACTCATTTTATTAATGAGAACGAAACCTCTCCTTGATTAGAGGCAAGAAGTCACTACAAAAAATCCTGAATAGGACGATTCAAACTATATGAATTTAAAAAATCTTTTATTATTATTGAAATTTCGGATGTAAAGTGAATTACAGTGCTCGATAAAAAATTATTTAATTATGATTGTTTGAAAGAGAATTCATCAAAATGCCAGAAAATCATTTAATGTTAGATTGAAATTTAACTATTACCTAGTTTTGCTCTCAATAACGTATATTACCTTGGACCTCGCCGAAGGTCCTAAGTCTCCTAGGTGAGTAAATAAGCACAAAGATTTTGTCTTTTGAAAAAGAATCCCTTTTTTCAACATGAGTGGTTTGAGGCAAATGGGACCACAGCTTCCATAACTTGCTCATTGTACCTTATAGCAGTCCAACATTCATTAAGCATAGACCATTCCACTTTCCACCTTATACCATAACTGAGGTACAACTAGGGTACAATAAGCCAGAAGGCTGCTGTGACTGGGGAGCACAAATCCTGCTTCCTGGTATCTTCATTACCATAACTGACTGTCTTTGAAAAGGCACTCAAGCTTAGCACATAAAACAGTCCCAGTCAATTGCTGCAAATCAAACTAGCACTCATATGTGAAGAGAAAAACCCCCGTGTTCAAGCATTAAAGCAAGATGCTGAATAGTGAAAGCCTTTCTACTCGGTCACCTCCAATAGTAGAAAACCTAATGTGGGAAGTCTACAGACTCTTATTCTCACAAAGTCTTCTGACTGTTTTAGAAGAGCTCTTGCTTAAATTGCAGACCATTCAGAGTTGACTACCTATCAAGGAAATTGTTAAATGACGGTTCCATGGTGCGGTACGAGCAATAAAACTATTGTCTCTAGCCATCGGTTCATCACTACCTTCTCTTCGAAGAGAATTCTGGTGGCCCTAAATCGCTGTAGTCCTTAGTGGATGATAGAGGGTGACACACATAGACTTTGGACTATGTAACGAATGTCATTAGCCATCTGACCAGGCGAGATCTTCTAAGAAAAATTTAAATTTAAAAAACCAATTAAAACTCAACAAGGATGGATGAAATTGAACTTTTTTTAAAAAATCTAAACAGTGAAAAAGAATATTTGCGAGGACGATCCTTCCATTAATCACGATGAATATTTAAAGTATATCAATTAATTATTCTTTTTATCTAAGATTTTGACTGAGATGAAAAAGTTAGTGTCACGAGAGGGATTCAAACCCATGACCTTCTGCTCTAATGTTATTAGCTATTTTGAAGGCTACATTGATCTTCACATAAAATTAATATACAAGAAAAATGTAATAAAAATTAATTAAGATAATGAGAATAAGAACTGCTTCTTTGTTCTTTCAAGAAGACCAACAAGAATATTGAAACTCCCTTCAAAAACGTATTCTTGTTCAATTATTTCATACAGAGTTATTTTAGAAATTTGAAGGTTTTCTCATCAAGTTTCAAGGATTTAGGTAGTTTTAATAACATTTTCCCAGAGAGTAAAGACATAAATAAAATACCAATAGGACTTTCTCTTTCTTTCTACTTTAAGAATGAGTTATACTTTTTTTAAAAGTAATTTTCTCATCATTTTATGTTTCAATTGATTTATTTAACAAATTACAAAAGAAATGCACCAAATTGTAAAGGCTTTTATACATGAGATTTTTTAAAAATCTACATCAGCCAAAAAAAAAATAGTGCAATAGATTGTCTATGGTAGAAACAAAGAAGGATAATGAAAAAAAAGGAGAAAATGAAACTTTTCATTTAACTTTGGTGCTATTACAAAACAATATATTTCTTTCATCCTAAAACTAAAACAAGTAGAAAATACTTTGTTAATGAAAAAATCACAGTTAATTATATTTACAAAAGAAAAAGTGTTAACTTTTAAAAAGAAATAAGTAGTTTTACACTAAATAAGTTGTATATTTAACTGTACATATTTTTGTATTTACACGTTTATAATTTATTCAAAGGCGGGAGGGAGAGAAAACGTGTTATTTTATTCCGGCGATTCCACGGTGTTTCAGCTTTGAAGGGAGCTCCCTCAGAATTTTCCTTGTTATCCAAGGAGTGGCGTGATTGTACTGCCTCATCATGTTGAGATCAATTGTGTACAAACTCCCGCAGATGATCATCTCGAGATTTGTTATACCATTTTGAAAAGCCTCTTCCATATCAAGAGACATCCTTTCTTCGTACTGCCACCACCCCCCTACATAAATAAAAAAAGAGAGAAAAATTAATCGCGTGTTTAAAAAAAAAGCCTGCTGATTTAGGGCAAAAAATCAGCACAAACCCAATTTAAGCATATAAAAAAAAATTATATAAATTAACTTAAAATTACTATTACAGATAAGAGCATGAACAAATTTCCCATTTGGATTTGGAAATTATATTTGTATTTGAAACTGTCAAGTAAATTAATTCAGGGCGATAAGTGACAGTTCTTTTCACATTTGATTTTTAGTCTGTTATTTATAGTTTTATATGCTTATTGGAAAAACCTGATTTTTTAACCATCAGTAACATATAAAACTGTCAGTATAATTTTTGAACTTGCTTTGTTTTAAGAGGAATTGAACTTTACTTTTACACAAAAATACTTTTGGTCTAAAGATCTTTAGAAAAAAAAAAATCACTCAATTTGCAATTTATTCATGAGAGGGTGGTGGCAATGGATGTCAGCGAAAAATAAAATAATAAAACTTACCATCTCGCCCCTCGTAGTACCACTTGTAAGTCCCATGCCCGGCTGCCTGGGCCGGCTTAGGCACTTCAAGTATATCGGGGTTGTGAAGGTAGTCGGCAGGAATGTGAGCCCGGCACAATGGACATTTACGGCTGTTCAATGCGACCCCTTTTATACAGAGGAAGCAGAATATATGCCGGCAGGGTAATCGCGCAGGATGACTGCACGACTGAAGGCATATGGCACAATCTGGCAATTTTGATTCAGCATCTTCTAAAAAAAACAAAAAAATTTATCTTCCGTTAAATATGTCAAACTAGGCAATCTATAAATATACTACAATTGGGTATTTATTAATATTTGATAAAAATGTCAACAGTTTTTAAATGGAAATAGTACTACACACTAAGAAGACAAGGCACAGCGTTAAAATTCAAAATTCTTCTCAGATATTGAAAATCCTTAGTCATCCATGTAATTTTTGCCTGAATGAACAAAATTTTAAATAGAACAATACAAAGGTCTGCACTTTATCATACTGTTAATACACCAGTAAAATTAACAAAAGTTAGCTTTCTCGGTGAATCTTGGATTTTCTTTCTCTCTGACTTGAAGCAATAATAAGAATAACATAATATATTGTAACTTCATATTATATTGAATTTATAGTTTACTGTTTAGTAAGGAAAGTTTTGTCCAGAAATATGGAAAACCAACAAAATAATAGAAAGGTTGGGATTTCTCATTTGCATCGAGGGTATGTTTCTTCTCTGCTCTAGATTATACAAATCACATATATTTCTCAATTATCGTTATATTTGCTGGTTGGATAAGACCCAGAGCACATTTAGGGCCGTTGTCCTACACTTGTGGAGTTCCACGACTTTTTTAAAAAGACACTAGGGAGGAGATGATCGATACAATAAACGACCAAACACAATAAAGCAGTGCCTGCTCACTCAGGTCTAAAGTATCTGAGATTTTTGACCAACCACTTCAACTATTGAGGGAAATTCGGATGAAAAAAACAAGTCAGTTTTATGCTAGAAATTATATCCCAGGTAAGTAGAAAAGTTTATGTGGGGTTAAAGGACAATTCACTTTCCCAAAGTTACGCACTCCACGATTTGTGATGGGAATCCACGGTTTTTACCTTTCCTTCATCAATTTCTTCATCTTTGAAAAAAGTAAGTAAAAAAAGCAATTACACCACTAAAAAGGATAATAAATGGAGTATGTTTTCTGAAATTTGCTGGTCTCTAGGTTTGGAAATAGTAGTTTAGAACCACCATTGTAAGTTTTTCAATTTTGAAATTTTTTTTTTCAAAGTTCATGCTACTAAACCCTTACTTCACTAACGTTTACAAGTTTAGTATTGATCACATCTTATTGAAAATTTAACATAGTTTTCAGTTGTATCAAAGGATTTGTCCAAAACCTTTCAGTTTTGGAGTTATCATTGTTTATTTGAAGCAAGGTTGTGAAATCTTAAAAATTCATAAAAAGCGAAATAACTCTGAAACTGCTGAGATTCGGACCATAGTTAATTAGTACTTTTTGGTTCCATTTTGAATGTAGAATCTACTGGTAAAGTTTGTAGCACGAGTAGCCGAACACCCTGTTGCATCTCTAGATGAAGGTACAAATAATATAAAAAAATGTGAAAAACAATGTAAAATAAATCACATATTTGGTACTTCATATCAATAAGTATAAGCTTTAACTTTAGCTATACTCCTACGCTAAAGTTTAAACCAAAGTACGTTTACATGTTTAGGAAATAGTAGTTTAGAATCAACAGAAGTTTTTCAAGTTTGAAAAAAAAAATTTTTTTTCAAAGTTCTCTACTAAAACACTTATTTCACGAAGGTTTACAAGTTTAGTTTTGATCACATCTTATTGGAAATTTAATGTAGTTTCCAATAGTATCAACAAATTTGTACAAAACCTTTTAGTTTTTAAGTTTATATTTACTTGAAGCAAGGTCGTGAAATCTTAAAAAATCAGAAAAAGCGAAATAACTCCAAAAATGTTGAGATTTGTACCAAAGTTAATTAGGATTTTTTGGTTCCATTTTGAATGTAGAATCTACAGGCAAAGTTTGTGATACAAGTAACCAAACACCCTATATTTTTATCATGTTGAATTTTTGTTTCTTTTGTTTGTTTGTTACAGGAATACTGTTTATAACTAAAACATTGTTAATTAGTTATTATTTGAAATGTTGTACAATCTAAATTAATTATTCTTTGTATGTAAGGTCTTGGTTTTAATGAAAAAGTTAGTGCCACGAGCAGGATTCGAACCCAGCTCGCGATAGCTCAAGTAGTAGAGCAGCGGCGCATTGAGCCGAAGGCCGTGAGTTCGAATCCCGCTCATGTCACTGACTTTTTCATTTCAACCAAAAACTTACATGAAAAGATTAATTAACTGAAAGTAGAAATTTGGTCAATAGACCACTCTAGAAATATGATTATTATAAAAAAATTGGTGGTTATAATTTTGTCGAGGAGAGTAGATCCAGTGGTGAAATCAAGTGTAAATCAACAAATTCGTAGACTTGCAGACCGACAAACATCACTAACTTCTGATTAATGACAATTAGGCTCTGTTCACCGTCACTGATGATAGCTGTGATTGACATCATAGTGAACATGTTAGAACAGAAAATTCTCCTAGATGATCTGATAATGTAAAATTAAATCTAATATGATGTTATATACCTTCTTTTTCCTCTTCACTGTCTGACAGTTCGACAGTCACCAGTTCTTTCTCCTGGGCTTCCACGGACCTCTTTTTACTCCTGGTGTTGTAGACCCTCTGAAATTTTTCAGCCATGTCCGGACAAGGGAACTCGGGCGTAAGAAGGTCAGAAATGCACTAGAGTCGAAAAAACCATAAAGATTTACTGGAGTAAACGAAATGGACAAAACAATAAACAACTCCTGGCAAAATAACCAATATGGCTGGTGGCCTTCTGTAAAGGTGACCTTAAATAAAAACAAAAACAAATTGATTTTTTTGTTTTATACGCACTCTTTCTATACAATCCGTTCTGAATTGACTTTTATACTTTATGTATATGAACATAAAACGTAAAATTTCACTAAGTATCTATGCGACTATCGATATAAAAACGTCACCTCTTTTGGAGCGTACAAGCCGATTTTTAAAGAAGTTCAGCTTTGAAATAATCTAATACTTAAAAAAAACGACTTGAAGACAATTCATAACATAATAATACACAGCATAAAAAGATCGATAATGTTGAAAACAGACCGCGTTTAGGCCGACCATAAAAACTAAGCACCATCCCAAAGCGTGCCATACTCCAACAAGAATAAAACTAAAATGGAGAGACAGCAACATACTATGGAAAGACCATCCGATACTCATGGCTCCGAGAGACGACATGACCTGGATGTATGAATGTAATCAAAATTTTCAAATAAATCTAGGTACCAAAAAAGAATGGAAACGACAGGGAAATACCTCTTTTAAGAATGGCACCATCCTTTGGTACACAGATGGATCTAGAACACAAGAAGGTACAGGTGTCCTGAAACCAAATACTCAGAACCCATGGGAAAAAACACCAGTATTGTCCAAGCTGAGATTCACTCAATCAAAAGATGTACCCAACTCAACCTGAATAAAGGGTACAAAAACAAGATATATAGCTATCATGTCAGATAGCCTAGTGGCCATCAAAGCATTAAGTTCAAATATCATTAGTTCAAGGATGGTGCTGAACTGCAATACAAATTAAACATATTAGGTATGCAGAACAAAGTCAGCCTGTGCTGGGTCCCAGGACACATGGGAGTAGAAGGCAACGAGAAAGCATATACCCTTGCAAGGCAAGGAGCTGCTACCGCTGACAGGTCCTGAACTCTTATGTGGCATAGGAACCCACACTATTAATGAGTATCTCAGACAGAAGGACAAAAAGGAAATGAAGGAACAATGGAATTCACCCATTGGATACAGGCAATCCAAGAATCTCTTAACCGATTTCAGAAGAAAACAAATTACAGAATGTGTCAAGGAAAGCAGGAACAAACTGCGAATCTTAATAGGATTCTTAACAGGACACTGCAAGCTAAATTGACACTTAAAGAAGATTGGAATAATCCAAGACAACACATGCAGATTCTGCAGGGAGGCAGAGGAGATAGACACACCAACACATCTACTGGCAGACTGTGGAGCTACACTTGCCCGCAGGAGGAAGTGTTTTGGGATGTATAATGTGACCATAGAAGAGCTTCAACCACTGAAACCGGGCTTATTAATCAAGTTTCTTGATGAAATAGGACTCACCAATGTGCTTTAGGCAGAGAATGGGGGATACAATAGCTCTTAAAGAGCGCAGTATATTACACTCTGAATATTATATCTACATCTACAAAGCGTGCCATTCTCAAAGAAGTGACCACATCCCAAGTACCCTGAATTTGCAGATATTCTATATCAGGATTGTAATATTTCGGTTATTAAACAGTACAAAATACTATTTAAAAAACAAGCACAGACACAATACAAGAAAGAAGCCTTATATAAACAAGAAGAACAGATAAAAGTGCCTCCAGTTTGCTAAATAGCACATAAAACCTTTCATATTTACTGATGATAGCAAATTTAATGGATCAAGGGTCGATGGAAGAAAGAGAGGCATAAGCCAGGAACACCTGAAATTAAAGAATACACTACCGTTGGTTAAACACGGGGCGGTGGTGTGCTTGTGTTCCTCCTTGGACCCATTCTGTTCCTAATACCACTTCTATATATAGGAGAATGTAAAACAAAGAATATAAAAATGGCTCTCTACGATGAAGGTACTGCCTAACTCTTCTTCTTTAAGGATAGACACAATATCAAACAGATTAGGCATTGCAATGCACTGCATAGGAAATTTCTGCGACCATTGGAAAATTTAAAATTAATCGTAACAAAATGGAGGCAATAGTTTTTCAGAAAGCGTAGACCGTTGCTTTATAAAAAATTCAATTTGAAGTTGTAACTGTACCATGGTCTGAGTTTGTCAAATATCTTGAAGTGATATTGGACTGTAAACTTTCACTTCCCTTGTCAGTGATAGAGTGCACAAGGGTAAAGCGGCTTTTGTACTTTTCCCTTTGCTCAGTTGCCCGCCAATGAACTTCTTTTGTGCAAGGTAGTGATCAGGCTGATGCTCCTGGGGTCTGACATGCAGGACTAATGTTGCCTAGCTGCAGGTTGTGCAGAACAAATTTCTAAAGCTTGTGACAGACTCCCCCTGTTATACACTCATACCAGAACTGCACAATGCGACAAACATTGCTGGAATACATCAGAGATGCAACATTTAAGGTTTTAATCAATGCAAAGCTATAGTACCAGCACATTCTGCTGCCATATAGACAACTATTTCTTGGACGACAGGTGATGGGGTGCATGTCTGGGGCTGCATGGGCTGTTGAGGAGTTGGCAATTTTTCTCATAATAGATCATGAACCAATGTTCTAAAACGGAATTTAGAGGAAAGCATTATTAAGCAAATTAACATATGACTTGGAACTACAGAAAACGTAACTGAAGATGATCTAAGTAAAGATCGAAACATGCTTCCTGTAGTTTAAAAATTATAAAAAGCTTCATCATAGATCCAAATCTACGAATGATTCATTTAGAGATGCTGGGAAGTCTGTGGAATTCCCTTCTGCCGCATATTAGATCGTGCCACCCCTTTCTGGCTTCTGGCATGAAGCTTTCAACTTTTTTGCAAACAATCCTTGATTTGATCAAACTAACTCAACATTATCTTTTGCTATTCTCTTTTTCTTCTCTTTTATACTTTTCTTTTATACTTACCTCTCTTCTTCATTCAACTATAGTAATATCATACAAATTTTTTAAATTAATTATGATTTCTTGCATTGTTTTGTAACTTTTTTGTTATTTAATTATTTTTCTACTCATTGAAAAGGGGCCAATCCCTATTATGAATATGTGTTTTATAAATATATTTTTATTTCTATATTATTGTTATTTTTGTTTTTTACATTTTAGTATATTTTGTTGAGGAGCGGTCAGGAATGAAGTAGTTTAGAAAAACACATCTTACATTTTTTTTGCATGTGATTCGACCTTTATTCGGGTCATCTTCAGGCATAAAGTGTAGTGCTATTTTTGTGGTGTCAAATTTGTGGCACCACACTTTATGCCCTGAAGATGACCTGAATAAAGGCCAAAACGTAGCAAACAAAAATGAAAAAGGTGTTTTTCTAAACTACTCCATTCTTGACTGCTCCTCACGACTTCAACAAATTATAAAACAACAGGTCACTAAGAAAAACCCATTTTATTGTTTTATTATTGCTATTATTATTATGATTTTACTATGTTTAAAAACCCAGATTTTATTTGTAAGTTATGTATATGTAAAGGGCTTAAAGCCCTATTTGCACATTTAAATAGATAATTGATATAAATAAATAATGATGAGATTTCAGACAATTTTAATTTTTGGATATTTTCCAGGAGTGTTTAAGATATTAATACGTAGTTGTGTGATATTATTGTCTGAAGGTGTCCCCCCTTGAGTGAAACGTCCTAGAGTCGTAGTTTTGTCCTAGGCGTGCTGTCGGTTGCTTTGGCGTACATGCTGCTCTCTCTCGGTCTGCTAGCAATTAGCATACAGCAACTTCCAACTCGATTCCCAGTCTCTCGATACGAGTTACTTTTTGGTTTGTCGACTGTGGTTTCACTTACGTCCTATTTTTTTTGTGTGTGTGTGAAGCACGGTTGTTTTCGTGAAATGTGCCACTTGCACCTCCCAACCCGTTAGCTTTCTTTTGGCTTTTTTTTCGTTTTGCCTATCTGTTGTTGGCTGTGCTTCTGTCGCGTCTGCTGTTCAAGGTATGCAATTTATCTATTTCTTCATTGTTTTTTTATATATATTTTTTTATTATAATGCACAGAATAAGGGATTCTAAAACGGACCGTGTTTGATTTTTACAGGTAGGTTCACTGATTTTGTTTGGCATGTCATCAAAACCACAAAGCTGGGCGCAATCACTTGTGAGTTCTGCATAGGTTTTCAGCACAGGTTGATTTACTTTACATAGAATTTCAGCCGAGCAGTCTTTATTATTAATTTAATGTAAATATTATTTTTAAAAATACAAAAAACCCAATTCCCCCCTATGTTGTGTATCATGTGAGATTGTTACTGTAAAGAGAAAGGTCAACCTCTCACTTAGTATAACTGTATTTTCTATCTTGGCCAGCTATCTTTTAAGCATTATAAAACGTTACTCATGATTTGAACTATTACAGTACATATAACTTTATATTTTTCTCAGACGTTAAAACGGAAAATATAATTTATGCGTAAACAGCAAGAATATCAGGTATTAAGCTGAAATATCAAGTTTTTTTTTTTTTTTTTCATTTTAACGACCCAATTCTGAGGACTTAGCCTGGACTACTTTATATTTTGTCCGTTTCCATTTGGCACTTCCAATAATAACATATATTGTTAGAGATGCTTAAAAAAAGAATAATTAATTTAAAAAATTACTCAAACTTATCCTGTTAGACATTAGTTACATGTTAAATCCATTATATTTCATGGTCTGATTGACCAAATAACTTCTTTCAATTAATTAATCGTTATGTAAGGCATTGGTCGAAATGAAAAAGTTAGTGTCACGAGCGGGATTTGTACCCACAACCTTCGGCTTAATATGCCACTGCTCTAACCACTTGAGCTATCGTAAAGTAGAGCAGCGGCGTGTTGAGCCGAAGGTCGTGGGATTGAATCCTACTCGTGACACTAACTTTTTCATCTCAATCAAGACTACATAGAAAGAATAATTTCCTTTAACATTTAGACTTCTATGTTTGTGACTTCGGTCCACTCAGATACCAGCTCCCCATCTCAACCTACCTTTCGAATTTTACCTCCTATTTGCCAATTTTCAAATGTCGTGTAATCAGGATTCAATTCTCGGCGACAAATAAAATGGCCACGGAGAGCTTTAGTGAAAATATACTTAGTTTTACTTATTAAATCCATTATATTTTGTGATCCAATCGACCAAATAACTTCTTTCAATTAATTAATCGTTATGTAAAGCATGGGTTGAAATGAAAAAGTTAGTGTCACGAGCGGGATTTGAACCCATAACCTTCGGCTATATACGCCGCTGCTCTAACTAGTTGAGCTATTGTGACTTCAATTCTCTCAGACACCAACTCTCCATCTCAACCTACAACCGTTCAATTTTCCCTCTTTTTGCCATTTTCAAATTTCGTGATATCAGGATTGGATTCTCAGCGACTTACGAAGTGGCGACTGTTTAGTGAAGTGATATTTCTTTTACTTGTTAAATATTAATCCATTTACGTTTTAGTAGTCAATTTACCAAGTTACTTCTTTCAATTAATTATTCTTTCTATGTTGTGATAAAAAAGAGCAGTGGCGTATTTAGCCGAAGGTCATGGGGCTTGAATCCCGCTCGTGACACTGACTTTTTTATCTCAACCAAGACCTTACATACAAAGAATAATTAATTAAAAGAAATAACATAATGTTGGAGATGCTTAAAATAAGAAGAATTAATTGAAAAAAAAAATCACTCAAACCTGTCCTGTTTGAAATGATTTATGCATTTAAAGAAAAAATATCACTTTGAGTCATTCTTGCCTAGGTATATTATAGTGTTCTACTATGGTGAGTAATCACTGACTGTTAGACAGTAAATTGATTTTAATTTAATAGTATTTCTCTCAATGCAAATTTCATCGATTAACGTATGATTATTCTGCCAAATATTTTCTTATTTGGTTTACTTTTTGTCCTATTGTCTTTGTTCCTTCTTCAGTGAAGTGTACTAAAACATGGCTTACTGAAAATGGTGAGAAGGCGAAACATGTTGTGAAATGCAAACCACCTGTCTGTTAACACTGTAAACAGGTCAAATAATCAACTGTCGATCAGATCAACAAGTGTTTGTACACCGTCAATCACCATCTTTAAATTTGAGTTACTTGAAATTTTTTTAACGATGAAATTAGAAAAATATTAAGAAAAGTATCATAAATTTGGTCGACATTTTAAATTCGTGCTTATTGGGTTTTGCCGAAGAGGAATATTAATTAAAGTAACAGTGCTATGGTTTTTCCTGTTCGGGAATATCATGTAAACTGCAGTATTAACAATCCCTTATCCAGATTGGCCTGTTGGATAGTTATCCGGTGCTCAGGGCTGAAATTTAAGGAAAACTCACTTTTTCTAATACCCTGATGTAACTACTTGATCCCATCTTTTTCTTCAGCTGCCTCTGCAACCTGTGGCTTCCCACTAATAGTTAACTGGTTATTGAGCACCGAAATATCCAGTTCATTGTATAACTGGGTATGCTTACCGCCATTTCATAATAATCTTTAACTTTTTGTAGCAGATTATAGGCAGGCGTATCAGTAATGGGTTTTTCACCATTTTATCATCATATTTTTGACACTTTTTCTGCAAATTAAGTTTCAATTTTAGCGAATGCTATTTTATTGTGTTATTCAATGGAAATAATTATAACAAATGGTAAATAACTGGGTAGCATAAGTATTAACTATCAATTTTAATTTATCAAACTATATCAAGTTCATTGGAGTGCGTCAATCCTATTTCTACATGTATCTAAATGTTTATGGAATCATACATAAAACAAATAGGAAAACTAGATAGCCAAGCTTGAGAACTACATAAAATTCGCTTAATATAACTTTAAATTAATTGTTCTTTTTATCTAAAGTCTCAGTCAATTTTGACTGCTAAACATACATGGATTAATATAATATTAAATATAGATAAATTCATGAACAATATATCATATGTGATACACAGACAATCAGAATAGCTTTAGTCAAGCTTTGGTGTAGTAGCTGAGGACTCTCGCCTGTAGACCCTGTAGTTGTGGGGTTCCACAGTCGCCCCTGGAATTTCTAGTCACTTCCCTTTTACCAAAAATTCTGTTCATTAACAGACATATTGACACTTCACAATTAAAAAATAAATTAGAATAATAATAATAACAGGGAGTGTTGGTGGTCGTAACGGTTAAGGTGCTGACTCATCACTGAATGGGTCCTGATTTTGAATCATGTAACCCCGAATTTGAACCCAACATACTTACAAATGGGTACTGCTGCCGAACCCTTGAAAAACATTTAAAAAAGTTAATAAATGCTATTCATTATTTATTTGTACTTTCCCCATCAATATAAAGAGAGGATAAGATGGTTAATAAAAGATCAAGCAACAAGCTAATATTTAATTAATTAAGGTTTTTAGTTGAGATGAAAAAAAGCTAATGGCACGGGAGGGATTCGAACCCACGACCTTCGGCTAGATACGCCGCTGCTCTACCACCTGAGCTATCGTGACCTCGATCCACTCGGACATCAACTCCCCATCTCAACCCAATGAATCTAATATTTAATTTAAAGATACTTAGGTGGTGAGGAAAGTTACTGAAGAATTTACTTAAAAAAATTTTTTCTTCAATTTATGCCACTATAAAACAACATTTTTTTAAGCTGGCTGACTAAAAGGTATGCTTTTTGTTTTTGTACAACAGTATACGACATGGTATTGAAAAGACATATAAATGTTTTAGCCAGATATTTCTGCATTTTTTACAATCTCCAGTTTGGCCATTTCCGACCATTTTGGTCTGCCTATTACTTGCTGATTTAGGGCTTCAACCAAAATGCTGAAATGCATGAGACCTTACAAGGGAGGATAGACAGTCCAAAATAATCGGCAATGGCCAAAATACAGGTTCATCGCCCTACAGACAACAGAGAAATCTCACAATTTATTTTCTGTAAAGCATCCTCTAGAAATCATAACATATTTATATTTAATTATCATTTTCATTTAATTTTTTCCTTCTGTAAGATCAATAATGCTAATAATTAAAATTTATTATCATTCCTCCTGGTATCTTATGTATTAACCAAATTTCAGAAAATAAATGGTCAAACGTAAATTGATAACCTTAACGGGGGAAAATACAAGTAAAATTGATTCATAGTTTAGATTCATCATACATTGAATGGGCTGTGGCAAAAAAATTAAAACATGCAAAAATTTATGATGTAAATATAAATGATTTGATTATTTGCGGTGGATTTAGAATTTTTAAGCATGTGACAAATATTGTTGTTTTAAATGAGATTTTTTGATTCAGTATTGTTATTCAGGGTGGATGTACATACTGTAAGGGGTTTGAGTTCAGTCGATCTTGTAATCTTAACACATTGTCTGCAGAAGATGCAACATGTGCGTCATGCCAACTGTCCTGTGCATTTGGTTTACAGTCTGCGTCCTCCCGTTTATACTTTTCAAACTCCTCTACTTCCCTCTACTTCCCACCCGCTACGCAATTCCATTTGAAATTCCTAGGGCCGCCTCAGAAAGGGCAAATGTGTCACTGGCTATGGTAGTTTAATTTTTTTTTTCAACCAAAATTGATTTAAAGAAAACCATGAAATTGGCTTTTCTGTGTATGTATCTGGCTATTTTGATTAATTATTTACCAGTTTTGCATGATTACATAAAATAAAGGATTAAGGGGTAAGAAGGTCTGAAGGATATTGTTGATTAAGGCGACGTGGCAGGTTCTCGGGATGGGAATGTGTAAAAGTCAAAAATAATTGATATCATTTACACAAATCTAAAAAAAAAAAAAAAAAATAGATTATTTAAAGAACCAGAGATCTATGTCAGATTTTTTAAGGCTGGCAAACTACATTGGTCATTACCAGCCTTCTCTTTCTTAGCTTTACATTTCTTTTCTTATTTTTCTCGCTAAAACTAATTTCTTTTTATGTTTCTCCAGCTTTTAGTTTTGATATTTTATGGTACAACGGTAACCAATTCTCTCTTTTCTTTGTCCTATTGCTAGCCTTTTTGTACCTCAAGGCCTCGTCAATTGTGGATAAAATAAGACAAATAACAAACACAAATATAGAGAAACAAGATAAAAACATGATAGGTTAGCATTCTCACATCC